CTTTCCGCCATGTAAAGTCTTGTACACGATTGCGAAGATAACCAACCAAAGGATGAGCTGGGTCGTCAGCCCCAAAGAATTGCATCGCTTCCTTCACGCGGTCCGGCGTATATACATCGTCCACTTAACAACAGGCAATGACTTCTTCAGCTTTCAGCAGAGAATAGGAAAACCACGATGTACCTGTAATAATTGCAAGCGCCTGGTCGTCGCGTGGGTCTCGCAATGCGACGCGAACACCGGGAGCAAGACTGAGGCGGTCAATGTCTTCTTTTTTTTTTTTTTTTTTTTTTTGTGTCAGATTTAAGTCTATTGGGGCAGAGCCCCATGTCAGACCTTACAACTTTGTAGACTACCTAAGGCCCCTAATGCCTGTGTTCCTGACCCCCTAGGAGACCGTCCCTTGCACTGGTGGAGGCACGCCCATGGCGACCATTCCCCCACACAGCCCGGCACAGAAACGCCGTTTAGGGACGCATCTATATAGCGAGCGGGGTAGCCTCATTCTCTCTGCTTAACTGTGCATTCCATCGGTCATGTGTTTCGTCTTCTAAGTACCCGACCGCATTAGCGATAGGTACAGCCGTATGGGACGAGCGTGATCAGGTGAATGAGAAAGTTTGTTTTGGTGTGTTGCTGTTTTCTAGAGTGTGACTTTGAATATATTCGGGCTGGCATCGTTTGATTTTGAGCTTGAGATCTGCAAAGGCTGAGGTGCGGGTAGAATAGATGGTAGGGTGGGGTGTTGAGGGCGAGCCCTCTGACTGTGGGCCAGTTTGGCCGTTATTGCTTCATGCTTATGGAACAATCCCTGTAAGAAGAGTGCTACCTGTCAATCATCCTCAGAATCCAGTTGAGAGACGTCACCTATGGCATCTCCTAGCGTGTTCTTGAATCTCCCCGACCGCCCCACATAGCGAAGCAGCTCCTTTATCCTGTCCAAGCTCGCCAGTATTGCCTTAAGGTCCCTCGAGTAGCGCCCTAGGGCTCTATCCATATCGTAACGCTCTGCCGCGTACGTCTGACATTCAAACAGGTAGTGTACCACCGTCTCCGTTATCGTCAATCGACCGGTCCCCCAGCACAACTCACACCGGCTGGTGACTGACCTCTTGATGCGGTATAGGTAGCTGTTCAACGGTATATGCCCTGTGCGCAACTGTGTTAGCAAGCTCGCCTGTGATCTGGACAAAACTTCGCTAGTCCGCCTGAATTTATTGAACGAGAACTTCGCGTCAACGTGTTGGAACCTTGCATATCGAGGCGAGGCCTTCCAGGTCTCGAGCCACCTGTTCTTCAGCTTCTCCGCGAACTCTTGCTTCACTGCAGTGGCGCTGGTGGGCAAGCACTCCCGGAGTATTGGCGGTAGATCCTCTGGTGGGCTTGACTCTCCCTGTGCTGCCCTCTTTGCCTCCTCGTCAACCCTTTCATTGCCCTTCACACCCTTGTGCGCTGCCACCCACGTCAACGCAAACTTTGCTGTTCCTGCTGGAGGGATGTGATCGTCAGTCCCATCTGTCATAACGTCTGTTAGCCTGAGATACTCAAGAACCAGGTGTTGCCCTGGCCCAGTCTTCCGTGCCCCCGTTGCCTTGATGAAAGCCTGACTGTCCGTATAGCTGGTTGCCGCCGAATTTCCCACCTCCTTCTGCCCTTGTAACATCCATGCTGCCAGAATCGACCCTACTGCTTCCCCCTCGAACGTCGTGTGCCTCTTTAGCGATCCCAGGTGGTATCGAAGTATCCTTTCCGGCTCCTCAACCCCCTTCCTGTACAGGACCGCAGCTGCTCCCACTTTCCCTTCATAGCCTGATCCATCCGTGTATATACGAATCTCTGACTCATCCTTTCCTTCGTTTTTGATTGACACCTCCTTCGATTCTGCGATCTTGGTCGTAAAAGCTCTTCTGTAGGTTGGCGGCCTGGGGTCTGGCATGATGGTTTCGAAACGCTGTGGCTTGATCTTGAAGCATTCGATTAGTTTCTGTAAAGGAGAACGGTGAGTCTTCGCTGGCGTCCTACTGTACCCTCTGAGCATATCCCTTATCGGGTGACCACTCGGGAGCGTTGAGGCTCGCACTACTGCCGCGTGACAGACACGTTCGAGCATTAGGTTCACTGGCAAAACGCCAGCGTGGGCGTCCAACAGGTCGTTGGGCGAGGTCCACATTCCCCCTGTGATTGCCCGCGTGGCTATCCTCTGTATCTTACCCATGGACTTCAGCGCCCTTACTGACCCGCTGTTCCTTCTCATGCCCTCCTTCTTGTGCGGAGGTACATACCAGACGTCCAATGCGTACGTCATCTTCGGGATGGCCACCGAAATGTAAAGAAGACGCATGAGCCTGGGCCGGATACCTATGTTGGTGCGGGTTAGCCTGCGGAACATAAGAACATAGGATGTTGCCTTTGCTATCGCCTCGTTCTCCTGTGTTCTCCACCTCAGCTGACCATCCACATGTACTCCCAAGTATTTGTAGCTGTCCACCTCTTTTATCACCTTCCCTCTAAGTCGAAGTACCGGGTTAGGGCGATCGTCGGGTTTTCTTGCGTTTGGCTGACAGTGCATCACGGCGACCTTGCTGATCTCGAAGGTGGAGTTGTGGTCTTGCGCCCAGTCGAATCCGCCATTCTTCCTTTCCATGTAACTTTTGAGTGCCCTAGTCGTCCCCTTGAGTGTTTTGGCCGTTGCTATGACGAGGGCGTCATCCACGTAGCCAATGGCGTCTTCGTCCAACCGCCTCAAGGCTTCTAATAGGTCAGCGTTGTACAATATGTAGAGGAGCATCGAAATTGGATCCCCCTGTCCTATCCCATTTGCGATTTCAATGAGCTCGGAGACAAAATCGTCGAACTTGAGCTTGGTCTTCCTCCCCTGTAGCAGCCGCTCGATAAACTTCACGTATGCCACTGGGATTCGCCTTTTCTTCAAGTTGTGTATTAGTCTGTCAGTGACCGCATTCGGAAAGGCCCCCTCGACGTCTAAGAAGAGCACGGAGGCGACCTTTCTCTTACCCCAGGCTGACTTTATCCTGTCAACCAGGTAGTGAATGGCGTCCGTTGTCGTGCGACCCGGTCTTCCGCCAAAATGTGTGTCAGGAAGCAGGGTGTTCTTCTCCACCAGGTGGCTGATGCTTTCCGCCACTATCGCCGTCAGTACCTTAGGAATGGTGCACAACAGGGCTATCGGGCGGTACGCCTTCGGTACTTCGTAGCTGGGCTTGCCTGGCTTCCTCAACACCGCAGTGGTGAACTCCTGCCATCCTGCATAGTAGGTCCTTAGCGCGAAAACGCCTCTGAACAGGTGTAGCAGGTATTCCGCGATCTGCTCATAACACTTCTGTAGTACCACGTTAGGGATTTCGTCGGGGCCGCTGGCCTTGAAGGGGGAGAGCCTCCTGACTTGGCGCTCGATCTGCTCCTGGGAGATGGGCGGCGGTGGTGGAAGCGGTTCTGGGTACACATAGTTCTCTGGGACCCTGGAACGATCCGGCTTCTTGGGGAAGAACATCTGTGCCAGGACCTCCGCCTTACCTTCGTTTGTGTTGACTTCCCGTGGTAAGGCGCCATCGCCCTCCCCAGGGATCTTGAGTGTTGGTATGCGAGACTTACCCCCATCCCCGACTGGTTCCTTGAAGTACTTGTTTGCCGTCCACAGGTCTTGCTCCGCCGCGTTCTCCAGGAACTCTTCCCAGTGCCCTCTCTTTGCATCAACAATTGCCCCTCCGTACGCGTTCCTAGCCTCACGTAGCTCTGTGTGAGATGCGTGATCTGGCAAGGCTCTGAACTTGTATGCGAGGCGACTTAGCTTCTTTATGGTGGTTTTCTGCCGGCTGAGGTCGCTGTTCCACCATCTTTTGGAGAATGGGCATGGCTTGTTTTCTGAAACCCTGGTCCTGATCGTATCCTGGATCGCCGCCGTGAGGTCTTCAGCTGACTGTCGAAACTGTTGTTCCGTCGTCAACGGCTGTGGAGGCGGCATTTCGAGGAGTCGGGCTGCCAGGTTTTCTTGAAAGTCTTCCCAGTCCACGGCCCTGAAGTTGTAGGAAACACGTGGGGTTGAACGCGCTTGCGGCAAGTCGATGTATGTGGCTATGGGAAAGTGATCAGTAGCTGGCGGACGAAGTGAAGGGTCAACTTCGCATCGGATTATCAAGTCATAGACATCTTCTGTACACCATACGTTGTCAGGCCGTGAGTACTTCTTGGTTACCATATGTTCCAAAGTCGGTTGTCCCCTCGGTAATGCCATCTTCAGATTTAGGTCAGCCAATATTTCTATCAGCTTCCCTGCATCTTCCAATGCCTTGGCCGTGAAGAGCCTGTTGTCCGACTCGTCGTCCCACATGGGGTGGTGTCTGTTGAAGTCGCCTGCCCAGTAGAGGTGATCATCCTGTCTTGACATGACCTCCGTTCGGTTTGTGCGTAAGAACTCGCAGACCGTGCGTAGCGTTCTTGAGTGTCCACAATCGTTGTATATGTTGATAACCGTCAGCCGCCCATACGCTCCTGCTAGCTGAATGACAGTGACGTCGTTAGTTCCTGGCACGTTCATAATCTTCCACGACTTCGTTGCCAGCGCTGCGCTAACCCACGTCACCGCCCTCGTTGTTGGCGCCCCATCCTTGAATCGGTCCATTGGCATTACCGCCACATAGCCGTTTGGTGTTCTGATATTTCCTGTAAAAGTTATATGCGGCTCCTGCACCAACACAATGTCCCATTCCTTTCCCGATACCCTGTTGTACAGCTCTAGATGCGCCCTTTGAGACTTGTTAAGGTTGACCTGCAGTATCCGTAATCTAGTCGGCGTTGGTTCCAGTTGTTCAGACATGGGTCACGGTCAAGGTGGGGGCGCTATCGGGGGGCGGCGATCTGTTGCTCGATGCCGGCGGAGCTATTGGGGACTCTGGGTTAGGGAACGAAGGAGGGGGAGACTTATCTGCTGGTGCCTTGGACCGTTGGCGCGCCCTGGCCTCCCTGGCGTACGGTCTTCCACCTGGGGCAGCCTGGTCGAAGTTGAGCTGTGTTTGTCGGTACCTGCTTCTTTGCGAGCCTGCCTGGGCATAGTTGACCTGAATGTCAGTTGGGGGTGGGACCCTGCGACCTT